ACAGTTGATAACTGTCTCCCACTATATCTGTGTTGTTATGGCCTTTATCTTTGGGCCTCTCTGGTTCATCCTGTAGAACCATGTTCCTTAATTATAAATAAACTTATTGCACATTAACTTTCCAAACTTGAAAAAGGGTAGGTAGTTCATCGAAATTACCAATGGCTTCTGTCCTTTAAGCTCAGGATGGTCAAAAGCAGGTTGAAGATGAGATAAAACACAGTCTATCACATCACCATCAGGGCTCTGCAGACAGAAATAAACAGCAACCAAAGTCATTAAATATGCTGGGTTGAAATTTCATGGAGGACAATTATTGATCGATTCGAAAAAATGAAAAACAAAAACAGAAAAAAGAAGACAAGAAGAAGATGAACTTTGCAGCATATAGAAGTTCACTATCAAAGACAAAAGGAAAATGCCTGGATAGTCTTGACTGCAGGCTTGTTGATCTTCTTTAAATATGACTGGACAACCCTCAACTTGTTCAACTCTGAACCTGGCTGAAAAGTCTGATTGGCCGGCGAGAGGCGGCGGCCGGAATCTGAGACAATTGGGTGTGACAATGCAGGGGTGAAGAGAGAAGAAGCAACAAGAAATAAAAGAACAAGAAGCATGGGAACGAATGAGAAAGTGTTGGTGTGGATGTGGCAAGGAAGAAGAGCCAGTTTAGAGGAATGTTTTAGTGGAGTAGGTTTCTGTTTTGGTACAACAACAACAACAGTTTGTGTTTGTATGCATTGTTGTTGTCTTCTTGTTGTGTGCTGAATTGCATAACAACATGAGGAGGGTGTGTTGTATTCATTCTTCTGTTTTGTCCATCGACCTGAATAATCTCCCTTCATGTCCTTACAAAACACAAGCAACCATCAAAGATGAAGTCTGCCAAGCCAGCCAAGTTAATCACTTTGATTCACTGCCTCACCATTTCCAACATATAAACAACTCTCTCTCTCTCTCTCTCTCTCTCTCACACACACACACACTCTCAAGGAGAGAGATTCTTGGGGCTTGGTTTTGTGTTTCTGACACCTAAGAAAATTAGAGGCATGAGCATATTAAAATAGACTTGGATTGGTGGGGCTTCGTACTTCCCAAGTTTAAGTCTTTAGAGGGTTGCGGTCAAAATGGTTTTAAATTCTTTTCACAAAGAGAGAGAGAGAGACGGAGAAGTGGGTGCTTCGAGTTTCAGGTTAATTAATTTAGAAATTAACAGCTTAAGCCAAGCCAAGTATCTCTAAAAATTAACAGCTTCTGGATTCTCTTCCTTCTTCTTTTTTGGCTGAAAGAATCTTTTGTTTTCAGCTCATTCCATTTTGGCCCTTGCAACATCTTTCCAGTCTCATTATTTCCCTTCCTCTAATGGATCTATGTTCTGGAGATTTAATAAATAAAATGATATCATATTGCTGTCACCCGTTGCCACTAGGAAGTGGAACGGTTGTAGTGCACAACCTCACATTATAATTTCTAATGGACCATCCATCCATATGTATATTTCATCATTTCAAATGGACCATGAAAATAAATAAATAAATTCCCACTTCCCACTTCCCAAGTGGGTAAAATCTTTTGACTATATATAAAATTATTGGTAATCAAAAGATTCCTGTAAATACTTATGACGGAGGAGAAAAGGAAAATGCTTTTGTAATTGGTGTGACTTAAGGCAATGATCAGATGAAAGTTTGAGAAAAAATTCTGCAGCATGTGCCTCTTGTGCTTTCAGCAGCATCTTACTTGCCAAATTGCCGTGCCTTCTGGTTTGTTTATTAGATTGTCAATGCTCTGCAATTCACTCCAAAATGGAAAAGTCAATGCTTTTGCCCGTAACAAACGATGGAAAATAGATGGTTTACCAAACTAGAAACGCACAAAAATTGTTTAGATAATATTTTTAACTGGGGTGTATCTGCTCTAGCCAATTTGACTAAGTTCATATTTGGAAAAAAAAAAAGATTCTTGTTAAATAACCATTTTGTGAAGATATAACATCAGTAATACTAATAACCTTCACCCCTAATTTATTTAGGCTATACAACATTTGCTAAGGAAAACGATGCCGCAGGGTGCATATTGATGAGGTAGGTCCATCTATATTTGATGTCAAGATCATGGTTAGGCGTGACGCCAAAGGTCAAGCATGTCAAATTCCCATATGCCGACAATTTGTGATGCCATATATAACCCATAAGCCTCCAAGCGACAATAGTAGCAGAGAATTTACTGTTGGAATTGATAGTGTAGCATCAGCCTCAAGCTTGATGATTCAGACTGATCTCCAAATAAGGTTAGCTTTGCCTTTGCTAGTTTAACGCTATAAGAGGGCACCATTCCATTAGGGCCTTAAAGATGGGAAGTTTTTCAACTTTTCCATAACGCGTGGTGTTACTGATTTACTCGTATTATAAACGTATGTGTGTAAAAGATATAATGTTAATAAATATATCAGTAATTTGATATAATACAAGAAGTTATTATTCTCGTATTATAAATAATATTATTAATCAACTCATATTATAAACACACACGATACTGATAAGAGAGAATTGTCATTGAAATTGACAGTGTGACAGCAGCCAAAAGCTTGATGTCCAAATCAGTATAGGTTTGCTAGTTTAATGCCGCAAGAGGGTACCATCACCTATATAATAAGATCCCCAAAAGTAATTAAGGGCCAGCAAAAAGCCACATTTGCATACCACTCTAATGTGTAATCAATCATACTAAGGTCTAATAAAGCTCCTAATTATAAAAAAACTTTCTTTTAAATTGCCATTACCATGATTTGAAAGTTAAAAGATTCCTACCTATACCTAGTAATTTTTTGTAATTGACCATGCAATTAACTTGGTTGGCACTAAAGCTTGTGGGAGGCAGAAAGGTATGGGCCCTCAAGCCTGGTGCTTCGTTCTCTTTTTAGGGTCCTGGGCAATGGTGCTTGCTTGCTACTTTCAAATGCAACGGGAATAATGTTATTTTACTACTTAGATTAATTATGGTATAACATACGTGATAACTTTTTCCCGTTTCAAACGAGTTTTCAGCTTGAGGCCTCATCCCCTCCCCTGTTTGCTAATTTCTATTCTATCTTTAATGCTCTCTTCTTTTCACAAAAGATCCGTTCACACTCCCAACAACTTCTGCAGCAACCAGTTGAAGAATATTGGTCCACCCTAAGCCCACGCTCATTAAAAGCAACATCACCACATTGAGATTATTAAGTTGTTCCAGTGGCAACCATACCATGCCCCCTTTCGAAAAGTTGGTCTGAGAGAACAGATTCCAGCCCCACTATAATCTACAAATTTTTAAAGGAGAAAAAAGGAGTATGGCCTGAATTTATACATGTCTGAACTTTGAAGCTATCTAAGATCTCTCATGGAATGGATTATATTCTTTAAAATTTGAATTGGTTATGTAATCCATTAAAGTTAATGTCATTTCATGGCATAAACTATATAAAACTATGTCACCTTTTTTTCTTCTTGGCTTGAAAGGCTGCCATTGCCATATGCTTTTTGAAAGGGTGCCAACTTGCAAAAGCAAAAATATTATTGCCCTGTAATTTTGTTGGAGCTAGCTCTGATATTATACTGGGATTTGCTCTAATTCTTCATTCTTGGTCTGATATGACTGGTATTAAATCTTACATCATCTGCAGTTTCTAGTTTGTAGCAGAAGGCACGCCCAGCTGGTAGATTCTCTTGTGAATTGTGAAAATACCGTTTTAAAAGAATGATGAGCAAACAATTAGAATATAATCATATGATTATTCCATGATTATGATTTGCAGGTACCAGAAATGGATAACATTCTTACTTACACCATAAGCTCTGGTTTCTAAGAGTAAGGGCTAATAAGAAATTATTATAAATAAAAAATAAAAAAAACCAATTAGCATATTCACTTAATTTTTCATGACCAAAATCTTCAGCATCATTATAAGACAGTCCATTTATAGCCTAGGATACATAGTGGTGCCTGCAGATTTTATAATGCAGAAGCTATAAGGCACTATACCTATCTTAGTGCCTACTTGGAAGGTTGAAGATGGTGATGGGTCATATTCTCAGATGAATGTGGAGACCATGTGATGTTTATCTTTCATAGGAGCTAATCTTCTTTTCCACTATTTATATATGAAAGAAAAGCTGGAAATTATTTGGCTTTTTTCAAAAGCACAACACTTTGAGACCTTCAAAGGTATGATGCAATTATACATGTAGGGACTTCCACTGTCACATGGGTAGCAACCATTCAAAGTTTCAAACAAACTGTTTGAATTTATTTTGGTTTTGGATTTTTTTTTTCTTTTAATTCTTTTATAAATAAAAAAATTAATGTGGTTTATGGTTTGGAGGTCAAAAAGATTTCTTGACATCATGACTTACCCTGAAAGATATGAAAGAAGAGAAAACTGGTCTGGAAGACTTGGAAGATGATCAATCAACTCAAGTACAGAAAACACTTTCATTACTTTGGTCACTAATCTTGACATTTTAAAGCTAACAATGATGCTAATCTGCGAAAAGGGCTACCTTGACTATATTGGCAACAAGTTGTCAGTTCTTGACTAATTAAAAAAGGCATGCTCCAACCAATTAATTTCATTTTACACATTACATTCACTTTAACTTTTATCTTTATTCCAAAATTCTGGCCCTTCAATTTCCAGTTTTCAATTGATTTGATTTGTTGGTATTGAAAAAAAACATTCATGGAAGAACAGATTCTGAAAACAAATTATTCATCTGTCGTATCACCATTGCAAGGAGCATGAATTCTTTGGACTCTGAAATGATGGATAAAAAGATGGATCCTCTGTCCACCATAGTCTGTTTCAATCAAATTGAATGCATCTCTTCCTCAATTAACGGTGGATTGCTTGACAAGAAAAGCATCCTTCTCCTTCCATCTTTGTAGAACCTGAAAAAGGAAGAGGCATCTTCACATTCTCCCACAATGCTCTTTTTTATCTCTACAATTGAACTTTCATCAAATAAAGGAACAATGAAACTGACTGCTGCTTGTTTGTTCATAAACTATATATCTCATTTTGTCTTACAAAGCCACATTTTAAGCTCAACTAATCTCACCATCACTCTAATAAGCAAAGAGCAATTTCAACACTGTACTTTGTTTTTTTTCTTTCTTTCCAATTTTCTGTTATCCTTGGGGGATAGTGTAGATAGTTAACTATGTCATCGGCGATGAGGGAAGGCGTAAGATCAGCAGGAGAGGCCTCTCACAATGGGATTGTTCGCCGGATGGTAAGCCTTCCCAGAAGCATTATAGGAGGATTTTCAAGAGCCATGGGTCATCGTATAGGCCTAATAGGAATAGGAGGAAGAAAAGCTCAAACTCTACCATCAAACTTTCAACTGCAGCATCCAGAAGATCCCCTCATTGGTCTAGATGTATCAGCTTTTCTACCTAGCCTTGAGCAGCAATATGGTACCATGCATCCATTCTTTTATGCTTGCCATTTTATGGAGGCCTTAAAGATTGCAGAGGGTGAACACAAGTTCTTGTTTATGTATCTCCACTCACCGGAACATCCCTTCACACCCTCTTTCTGTAGGGAGACACTGTCTTCAGAGCTGGTGGTGCAGTTTCTTGATGCTAACTTTGTTTCCTGGGGAGCACTTGCTGATAGAGGGGAAGGTCTACAAATGGCTGCAACAATGAACCCTTCTTGCTTTCCATTCTGTGCTGTTATAGCTCCTGCTCCTGGTGAAAGCATAGCAGTGCTAAGACAGGTTGGTTGAAACTTGAAAGTATTTTAGTACTTTTTTCATTAAATAATCATCCATTGGTTCTAGATATACATATTGAATGCCTAAACCATCACTATTGTTCTTTGCTTTGTCCATGTTTAGATGGAAGGACCAATTTCCCCAACTGAGCTGGTGGGGATTCTGCAGAGGACTGTGGAGGAACAAGGGTCGGCTTTTCGTAGTTCAAAGGTCAAGCAGGCAGAAGCTATAATAGCAGACCGTCGTCTAAGAGAAGAACAAGACGCAGCATATCTTGCAGCTCTGCAGTTAGACAAGGTTTGTTTGTGCCTATACATATGATATCTGCCATGCTTTAGGTCCAAGCCTTTATCTAGTGAAGCAGAAAGTTGACAATGAACCAACATTCTTGCCCATTTCTGTAGGAAAAGGAGAAGCTAAAGAATCTACCTCCAGCATACAGAGCTCAGAAACCAGCAGAAGCCCCTACCAAAGCGAAAAATGAGAGACTTCAAAACTACCCTACCAAACAAGAGTATGGAAAAACCAAAGAGGCTTCTAGTACAAGAGAAGCTCAATACAAGGAGGTTGCAAATAGGGGGAAGGATCCTCAGGCTGCTGCACAGGTATAATTTTAGAGACAAAACATCATATTTTGAGTTTTAAAAAAAAGCAGTAACTATATTGTTAATTTGGTTGTTTCATTGTTGTTTTCTTCAGATACTGATAAGGTTTCCAAATGGGGAAAGAAGAGAGCAGTGCTTCTTGTGCACAGACAAAGTGCAGTCAATTTACAGATACATAGATTCACTAGGCCTCCCTGGCATAGCAAACTACAGATTGATTTCAAGCTTCCCAAAAAGAGTGTATGGGGTTGACCAAATGGGGATCACACTCAAGGATGCTGGACTGCATCCAAGAGCAACCCTCTTTCTTGAACTTCTGTGACATCAATTCTTTCTATATTTTCACAACTACTGAAAACCAAAATTGGCATCCTTGTAATCAAAATTTCAATCTTGGGTTTTTCTATTATTGCTAGAAACACAATCTCATTAATTTCACTCACTGTCAAGTGCCAACAAAAACAAAGTCTACTGAGAAGACTAAGTTCAAACTTTAAACCTTTCAACAATTGCATCAACATAACAAACATAAATGCACGTGTAAATGAAGCATGAAATTGCTGACATTGACAAATCCAACGGTCACAAACTTACTTGGAAGTGAAATTCAGACAAAAAACCGATAAACCCATCAAACCGACCGGTTAATCACTCACTTAATAACAAAAACCTGATTAAGTTAATCAAAACTAAAAGCAAAAGACACAAACTTTGAAAGTTTGAAGATCAAGCTTTATGGGAGAGAGAGAGAAGAAGAGGAAGAAAGGCGCGCGCTTTGCTCGAACACGTGTGATGGAAACTATATTTGAGAGGCGTAACATCTTATAAAATATGAAAAGTCAAAAGTACCCTTGATTATTTTGTCGTTTAGTGAAGCAGAAACGACATTGTATATTTCTCACTATTCGTGAATTGGCCTCAAGGTCGTTTGTCCTCTCTGAAAATATTTGCCAATTAGTCCTTCTTGCAGTGCAAGGACAATAGTTTTGTTTTTTGGTGGGCCACGTGGCGTCGCGTCACCGTGAGACGCTCAGGACAGGCAGCCTCATCGCCCTCCTAATGTAACGCCTACGAAAACCGCGATCCGATTCAGCGGTTTCACACCACTTAATTCACACAAATGGAGCTCCGTATCTGCAACCCTCTTCGTCGTCTTCCTCTTCTCTCCAATTGCTCCTATCAAATTAAATCCTCCCAAGTTCGAAGCTTCTCTGTTCGGAGCTGCCGCTTAGACCCCAACGAATCACACAAGGTAAAGTTACCTGCATTTACCTGTACCATTAACTCTGCATCTGTTTGGGTTCGCGGAAAATTGTGGGAAAGTGACTAGGAAAGTTGTAAATTATGATTCTAATATGCATGTTTGAGTGTTGAAGTTTGTATTTTTAGTTCACATTTTGAGGAACATAAAGATTGAAACTTTTTTAGCAATTTATATTTCTTAATCTTCTTCAAAATGTGTGGCTTGCATTGTATTTTGCGTAGCTAGATGTACACTTTGGTGGTTTTGTTATGGTCTTTGGTGGTTTTGCAGCTAGTTTTGCAAGTGAAGGAGAAGCTTGAGAAAGATCATCAAAGTCTCCCTGTAGGCAAAAATGGAAGAGATGATGAGGATATGATCCTCTGGTTTCTCAAGGACCGCAAGTTTTCCATCGACGAATCCGTTGAAAGACTGACTAAAGCAATCGTATCCTCCTCTAGCTCAATCATGTTTTTCAGGACTCAATATTTTGGTTGGCTGCTTTAGCTGTTGCTTGCATTTTACTTTGGAAAGTTCATTTCTTTTTGGATTATTTTTCTTGGAAATCTGGAAAATGTTGATGCATTTATGATTATAGTTTCTTTTTTTTCCTTGTATTTCCTTATCCTGTAATAGAAATGGCGTGAAGAATTTGGGGTGTCTGAAATATCTCACGATTCAGTGAAGAGTGTAGCTGAAACTGGAAAAGCTTATGTACATGACTTTCTTGATGTTAATGGTAGACCAGTTCTCATAGTGGATGCCTCTAAGCATCTTCCTGCTGTAAGTTTGATTCTTTTGGGTATGCACTGTGCCTGAAAATGTGTCTGGTCTTGCATACCATATAATCTTAATATTCTGAGGTGCTACATACCAATCTTAGTCCAGAACATAATGTTTTGTTTGGTAGCCCCTTTTGAAAATTGTGACCAATTTTTTCTACCTTTGGCTTAGATCAAAGTTTGTATGATTAATTGGTAACTGCACAACAATGTGTTATAGGTGCATGATCATGCTGAGAATGAGAAGCTCTGCGTGTTTTTGATTGAGAAGGCATTGAGTGCCCTTCCAGAAGGGACAGAAGACATACTTGGAATCTTTGACCTACGAGGCTTCGGTACAGAGAATGCAGATTTAAGTTTCATAACATTTTTGGTACGTTTTAGAAGATACCCGCTGATTATTCCTTTTCAGCACTATTTATAGGTATTAATTGTCATGAAAATTTCATGATGCTCATTTTGAGTTGATTCCCAATCTATTGCAGTTTGATGTTTTCTACTATTATTATCCAAAGCGATTGGGCCAAGTCCTCTTTGTGGAAGCTCCATTTATATTCAAGCCAATTTGGCAGCTGGCCAAGCCTTTATTAAAATCATATGCTTCGTTGGTATGTATTCCATCATAGACGAATATTTCATATCATTTTGTTCAAAAGCTATATTTTTAGTCAAAATGAAATTTCATACTGCTTGCACTTGAATGGCATTCAAATTTGATACTTTTAGTGAATATGTGCATATGGGAGGAGCAGGGGATATATGGAAGACCTCAGCTACTTTGAGCTTTAAAAACTTTTCCACCTACTTGTGTGAGAGTAAAAGAAAAGGGGAGGGGGGAACACCTAATTTAGCATTCCATTCCATGAGCATGCTTGGGCCCAAATTTCTTACATTCTATTTTAACTCCATCACCATGGGTAAACAGTTGAGATTATCTACTACAGAGTTTCTTAAGATTTTTCGTGAATGTGGCCTGTCAGTCAAGTTCTGAAAGCCATCGTTGGAATTTAGGTCTGGTGTCTATTGTAAATTTGATATCTGATGCAGGCACTATACCATAAACTTTATTGTGAATGTGCAATTTTGTTTGTTGTTGTATTTTTCTTTTGTTTACTTGTCTACTATTCCCGTTTCATTTGAAGTATTTGTCTCTTGAAGGTGAGGTTTTGCTCCGTGGAGACTGTCAGGAAGGAATATTTTACAGATGCAACGGTGCCAGCCAATTTTAGAGACTGAGAAATGTCTATCAAGTTTTGATTTGATGTACCAGTGTATAATTCTTTTTGTACAAAAATGGCTTTTATCTTTTGCCAGTAGAATGTATTTACTTTTAGCTTTATAATTTTTGGGTTAGAAAAACTCATATGTTCCAGTCCAATTTTGCTCGACAAGAAACAACGAAAGCATGATGGTCAATCAATTTCTGGCCTCTGAATTGTTATTGAATAAAATTTGTCTATTGCAATCTAAGGAGTACATAACATCTAATCTATCATCTTCTGTCCTCTTACTGCGCTCTTCCTGCCTATCATGGGGAGCTTGACTTGACAACAATATACACTCAATAGAATACAAAGAAGTAAAACAAGTACAAAAAAGGGTGAGGATATAACCTCCGTATTTAGGGCTAAAATGCTAATTTGAGATCTAGTAGGACTTGACCATAAATATTCTCCTTCGACCAATGCAGCTCCTAATGTCCAAGTAACATCCGCAGGACCAAAAATGATCTCTTTGTCACCAAGACACATGGCATCGTCAACGAGCGATGCCACATAAGGTACACGAAAACAGTATTGCCAAGCAAAATATGCATTCTGTGAATTACTGCTTAGGTCAGACCATGATCTGGAGCATACTTGCTGGCCTTTCTCCCAAATCTTCATCAAGGTGGCTCTTCCGCTCAAATTCAACTTGTCATAAATAGCAAAAAATCCAGATAGTGCATGAAAGCGGGCTTTGGGGTGAGCAAAAGCAGTCAAATTTATCATTTCATTCCCTGTGAACATGAGCACGGGATTACAAAAGTGATATGAATCCTAAAATCATGAGCGTAGAGATAATTTCTATGTGAAAGTATGTGATCTTCAACAAAGAAAAACCCTTTTATAACTGGATGAGTCAAAGTGCACAAACAAACATCAAATATTTGAAAGAAAAAAAAATTGTAATTCAACTGCTGAACTGGGGAGCAAATGTAATAGTTACCATTATCAGAACATGACCTTGCTCTAAGGTCTGTGTCAGCTGTGCTTGAATTGATAGCAGCAACCTTAGCAAGTCTTCTGCATTGCTCCCAATTTGGCGCTCCAACCAGATATACAGAAGGAAATTTAGTTTCTTGCACTTGACTGGTCACATTTTTCTGATCAGGAGCGTTTAGCTGGGAGCAACCATAGCAGGTATAGTTTTGCACAATGTCAGTATGAAGACAAGGATGTCTGATCTCTACTATACCAGATGCACTTTCTGTGAGTTGTTCCATATGGCTGAGCATAACAACCGTCCTATCAAATGCTTCATTCAATCCAAATTCCGACAATGAGTAAGCTAAAATATCATGTTCGACAAAACCAAATTTTGATCTCACTAAGTTTGCATCTTCTCTTGTATTATCAACTTCCACGACAATCTGCAATGATGAGCCTCCTAAGTCAAGAAGTCCCAAAGTGGGTGACCTTGAATGATTCCCAAAGCTACCCATTTTATAATTTAGAGCCACCCAACCATAATAAGCTTCTTCTTGGCCACTCAATACCCGTATCCAACTCTTTTTATACAAAAATGTATGTTCTTTTACAACAACTTCTATGTCATTCAATACCCGCCTAGCATCTTCCATTGCCAATCTCCTTAATCCAGCAGTAGCTAGAACAAAAATGGGAGTGTCTCTGCGTTTTTCAGAAGGAACCTTATGTTCTGCCAATGTAATTAATGGTTCCAAAGATGCTCTTACTCCTGATAAGTTTCCGACAGATTTATCCACACCAGGCTCAGTTTGCAGACAGTGATACTTACAACTTTTCCAAAGCATTCCATCAGTTGAATTGTTGGGATAAGAATACAACAAAATCGGCAATTCCTTACTACTTACATCCCTTGCCAGCCACTTGTACACATTTACTCGGGTCCCCGTGCTTCCACAATCAACAACCACTGTATAATATGGTCCTTTAGATACACTATGGCCTTTCCTGGGTATAAACGCAAAATAGGCACCAAATAATAAGAGTATTATAACTGTAACCACAAAACTCGTTCTCAACGCCTGCTTGTATTGAGCAAATCCAGTGATTGATAGCTTAAATTTTGAAGGAGATTTGGGTTCCATAGATGCATTACTAACATGAATAAATTCCAACTCTAATAACAGCTCTTTCACTCCCTC